CATCATGAAAATTAAACCTTATTTTCAATAAGCAATCCTGAAAAAGATTTGGGGGAGCTTAACTTTTTTCCAGGTGTATATATGGCAGATGCTTCTTGTAGAGAAATTACACATGTTGCAATATTATAAGAGCTAAACTAAATGCTTATTGAAAAGAAACTGGAACTTAAGCAGTCAATTTACAGGTTATTTTATTCTTTTGGTAAAGAAACTGCTGCCCGTGCTGTAAAATTACAGCTCTGTTACAAAAGACACAGTCTTGTAAAGATTTGAGATATGTTGCTGCACATCAAGTTATAGATACTTTATATGCATCTTGTACAGAATCAGCAGATCTAGCAGTAAGTGGCAACTTTCTTGCTTTATTATATAGAAACTACAGTTTCAACAGTTAATTTGTAGCTACTTTGTATATGTCAGATTTAGCAGGCAATTTACTCTTACTGTTTATGTGTTCTACAGAAGATATAATCCTAGCTGTCTTGTTACAGCTACAGTTTGTGTCTTGTAGAGGTATTGCATATCTAGTACTTTAATTACAGATGTGGTGCATGCATATTATGTTAATGTAGACTTGGGAGTCAACTTGCAGGTACTATTCTTATATTTTGTGTAGAATCTGCTGATTCAGCATTTGAGTAACATCTACAGTACAAGGGTGTTGTAGAGAAACTGCAGATCGCAAAGTCAGCTAAGGGCTAGAGTATATGAATGTTTTAGGGAAACTGTTCATCTAGTTATCAAGTTACAAGAACAGTATGTGCATCTTATAACTACATCTAGCATGTCAAGTTAGTAGCTGAAACCCATTTTTATGATGTTTAAAATTACAGTTATTATAAAATCTCAAATTTAGTGATACTTACGTATTGATTATATCCATGGTCTTTTCTTCTCTATATATAAAAGTAATATTATTTATCTCATTCATTGCCTTTTTATTAACTCAATCAGATAAAAATATTTGGAATTTGCTCTAAGTTGTCATCCATTAGTACAGCTACAATTCTATCACCAAACTGAGTTTTATTTCCACATTTTGAAGTATTATTAGAGCTAAACTAAATGCTTGTGGAAGGGAAACTACTGTTCTTGCTGTAAAGTTACAGCTCTAATACACCTGTGTTGTAAATATAATGCACATGCATTGTAGTCAAATTATAGCAACAGTGATTGTATTTTGTATAGAAACTGAACATCTAACAGTCACATTTCAGCTACAGTTTTAGTGTCGTGTTGAAATATTGCATATGTATCAGCACATCAAGCTATAGCTATTGCATGCATATACACAGAGGGAGTTGGGCCGAACCCGCAGTTTTAGTAATGTAAAAAAATTATGCTTATATAGTTACAGTGCAGCTGCTTAATGTATTTAACATTTTCGACATAGGCAACATTCTTCTGATGAAGCATTAGCATTTTTTGGCTTGAAATAATTGCATCCAATGGCTTCTATTAACACTTTGTATTTGTAAGTCTGAATCCGCATTGCTAGTGTCAGGTTTTATAGGCTGGATTCTTTACGGTAGGTGTCTGTGACTTGTTGGTGATAAATTTCAACAATAAACAAACAGCAACACAGTCCATTTATTTTAAAATAGTATATTAAAACAAGTGAAATATATATACAAATGTTCATTACACTGTTGGTTACCACAGTTGTATCCAGAGCTTTAAATAATTGTCTCTTTTTTTGTCAAAGTCCATACACAGGCTGGTTCGGTTACTTTAAAACACAATTGGCAAGACCAGAATTATTATTCTTTACTCTGTTATTACAATACAGTCTCTGATAATTTCACTTTAAAAATCACCACTATATGCTCTTTACTCACAATCACACAGTCTGGATCTAAATTATAATCTTTCGATACGTATTTATATCCCTACAGAAGTCTAGAACATTCAATGCAATACTAGATATTCTGGTGCAATAATACTCAATTAAAACAACAAGAAAAATTCTGAAAATTGTAGTAACATGACACAACAAATAACAGTCTCTAACTCATAACAATTAATAAAGAACTTCATTGATGGAAGACAATATGGCTTTCTATACCTCTCTAGGACAGGCCCCCAGATACTGGATGACTGCTTAAAAGCTTGCTTCAGTTTATCAAATCACCAATTGAATAATTACCTAAGGTGTACAGAAACCAAAGAAAAACTGAGTGCTCTAACTTTAATATGTAATAATCATGACACTTTTATCAACATTTGAAACGGTATGTAAGAGGAATGGAACATGCTAACTTGTTATTTCAGTAGTGCATACATGTACGTATGTGATAGCCAATGACTGGCCCCAGTGGCATAGCA